GTGGGGGTTGGCCCTGTCCCTTCTCTGCCCCAAGTAACATTTTCCTTCACCTTCTGTAAGCTGCCTCTGCTAATGAACGGGGCTGCAGTGCACAGAATCAGCTTGTGCAGTGGCTGGGACAGAGGCCAGGACTTCACACGTGACCATGGTCTGCCTCCTTTCTGGTGGGCACCAGAAGTCTCTCAGGCTGGGGTGGGTTTCTGAGCCCCCTGACCTGAGTCTCAGGGTGGCCGCGCTTTGCCCAAACCGAGAGGAAAGTTTCAAACAGGATTGTGAGTGTCTCAGCCCCCAGGCTGTTCTTGTCTGTCTCTGACTTCATCCCAGCCCGGTGAGTAGAACAATGTCTAAACACTGTGACTACAAAGCTGGTACCCGTTGGCATATTCGCATTTTCCCTGAGTGGCTAAAGTTTTCCAATCATTTCCTCATCATTTGCTTACCTGGTTCCTTACTGTGGACTAGTGGAGTAGTTTGCTTTTCCCTTCCAGAAAGAATTGTGGCTTCCCTCGCTGCTGGGGTTGGAGCTGGCCACCGGGATATGGTGGCCCCCAGGAAGTCAGGGACTCCCTACTTTCGCCACTTGGATCCCAGCCAGCAGGACAAAGAAGCAAACAAGTAGAAGGTGACCTGTGGGCTGTGGTGAGTGTCCTGAGGAAGAGAGAGGTGCTGGGGGTGGGGGAAACCTGCTATTTCATGCATTTGTGTCTTTGTGGGGTTGGGGGCAGCCCCGTGCCTGACCCCAGCGTGCTCTCAATGCCGGTGCAGCCACAGCTGAAGCTTCCCTCTGAGGACCCCCGCCCCCTTTCCCCCCTCCATCGGGTTGAGTCTTCCGCCAGGACATCTGGAAATTTTCCAAGAAGCCAGAGCACAAACAGGCTTGTTTCTTGTTCCCAGGGAATGTGTTTCAGCTGGTACAGATGGCCGCTGGCCCCTCTGAAGACCATCCCTTCCCTCCATCCACCACCTGGAGCCTCCCCCCTGCCCCCCACCCCTGCCTCAAGCAGTCCTGGAGCCTTGGGAATCAATGGGCACAGCGCCCCCTTGGGGTGGGCAAAGCCTCTGGGGAGCACACAGTTGCTTGTCAACCCCCCCAGGGGGTCCTGGAATGACCCTCCCACAGGATTGTGACTACATCTTTTTTTTTTCCTTTTGGGCCACACCTGGCAATGCTTGGGGGTTACTCTGGACTCTGCACTCAGGAATTACTCGTGGCGGTGCTTGGGGGACCATACCTGCTATGCTATGGCTCCAGCCCCGTGACTCTGTCTTGAAGACTAGTTTACATTCCGTCTCTCCTGAGAAGTCTTTCCAGCTCTCGAGCCACCCCACCTTCTTTTTCCCGGACCCCTAATTCCTCCCCCTCCGCCTCATTTGGCCCCTCCCAGTCTGCTGCATGCTGGTTCCTTCTTTCTTCTCTCGTCTCGTTGTTTCATCGGCAGAGGCCTGATGGCTCTGCAGAGGCCCAGAACCCCGGCTAGGCATCTCTGCAGAAGCGCTGTTGGAAGTGGAGGCTGGAGACACAGGGAGAGGCCCAGGGAGCAGTGTCTGCCTCAGCCCAGTGGGGAGTTTGGACTGTTTGGGCCGCCCCATGCAGCCCTCCCTGGAGTGTTTCTTTCTCGTGTTGACAAAGAAGAAGGAAGCAGCCTGTTCTGTTGGGTCGCCTTCCGAGGGTGTTCCCACTCCAGGCTGGGAAACACAGCCCCTGAGGTGATCGGGGCAGGTCACTCTTTCCGGTGCTCAGGCAGTGTCCTTGTGGTGTGAGGGTCGGACCAAGTGGCAGGGTTTGCTGGCACAATAGGAAGGTGACGAGCGTGATGCTTCTGCCTGTGGCACTGAGGATAGCTCACCCAAGCCCAAGAAGGATACAGTGTGTGTGTGTGTGTGTGTGTGTGTGTGTGTGTGTGTGTGTGGTGTCTGGTGTCACTTCCTGAGACTGACAGGAAGAGAAGGTGCAGATGGAGGGAGAGGGGGTGCAGTACAGAGGCAGGGAGGGGTGGGCAGCCTCTTAGAGGGCCACCAGCGGGTCTTTTGGGACTGTGAATGTGCTTGGTAGTTTGTTGTTGTTGTTTGTTTGTTTTTGTTTTGTTTTTGCTTTTTGGGTCACACCTGATGATTCTCAGGAGTTATTCTTGGCTCTGCGCTCAGGGATTACTCCTGGTGGTGCTGGGGGGAACCATATGTGGTGCTAGGGATGAACCCGGGTTGGCTGCATGCAACACAAACACCCTCCCCGCTGTACTATCACTCCAGCTACCACGAATATGCTGGAATGTGGCGGGAATCCAGGGGAGCCCCCAAGAAGGGAGCAGGGGTGGGTGGGTCACCTTCATGGTAGAGAATGGAGGGGAGTGGTGGAGAAGGGATGAGGGGGACTTGGTCTAGGGTGACGACCTGAGCTGGGGCAGTGATGTAAGGCGAGGAAGAGACACGAAGGCTGAGGGGCACTCCTGTGTGAGCCGGGGAGACTTGGAGATGGAGTGGGTGCAGGGGTCAGGGAAGAGGAAGTGGGCACGTTTTAGCACAGGTACCTGGGGGCTTGGCCCTCACGGAGGAGACGGGAGGAGAGATGGATTTGGGGGTAGGAAGGCGGAGAGAGATGGGACGGGCAGGGAGAATCCCTTGGGTACCATGGACAGCTCCAAGGATATACAGTTGCTGTGGAATCAGCACAGTCTCTGTTCCTGACACCGTTTTGGCCTGCACGGGCTGGGCTGGGGTTCAGACACCTGACCTAAGGAAGCACCCCAGCAGGTTAGAAGCTTGCACTGTCTGAAATAAAGAGGAGGCCCCCCTTGGCTGCTAAAAAGGGTAGAACTCCCAGGGTGCATGACTTGCACATGACGAGACAATTTCTTTTTTTGAAGGGGTCATACCCAGCGATACTCAGAGGTTCCTCCTGGCTCTGCACTCAGGAATTACTCCTGGTGGTGCTCGGGGGACTATATGGGATACTGGGGATTGAACCCGGGTCAGCTGCATGCAAGGCAAACACCCTACCCGCTGTACTACTGCTCCAGTCCCACAAGACAGTTTGTTAATCCAGCAAGAAGTCTGGGGAGATGTGGAGGAAGAGGCCCCCCCCCCTTGCCACATCCCTGCTGTTTTCAGGGTTGGGGGCAGAAAGGGGCCATTCTCATCGCTATGCAGTCACTGGACTTTCCCAGGGGGCCCTGAGACACCTTCCTAGACCCACTTCCCAGGGTGAGAGGAGGGGTCCTTGACTCAGCATAAACATCTCAGGGGAGTGGGGACTCTTCAGGTATTGGGAGTGATCGGCAGATGCCAATGTCCACTGTGGGGGATGAGAGAAGCGACAGAGTGCATATGGACCCGTGAGGGCAGCGAGTCCAGTGACATGCCCAGCCTGTGCCTGGCACAGGATCAGGTGGCAGAAGGGCTCCCAGGGGAGGAGGGGGGCACTGGGGAACTATTCAATGGGCACAAAGCCTGGACTTGTGAAGATGGGGGTTGCTGGAGCTTGGACGGAAAGGAGAATGACTGTATCCCCCAAATGACCACAGTGGTAAAAACCTAAATGAAATGTCTGAAAAAATGAGATCATAAGAAAAGCAGTGATCAGTATCCTCAAGCCAAAGGCTCAGCCGCTCTCAGCATGAGGGGTTTTGGGGACCAGCAAGGTGTTTTTCAAAGGGACTGCTGCCTGGTGGGTGCCTGGATGTGAGGCGTCCACCATCAGATAGCGACGCCTCCCAGGGACCCGGTTCCCTAAAATCAGGGAGATCGTGCCTCCTCCATCGGAACAGGTGGCATTAGACTAGGTGGCATTAGACTGAGTGGCATCCTTAGAATTGGGGAGGTCGTGTATCCTCCATCAGACCAGGTGGCATTAGACTGGGTGACACTAGACCAGGTGGAATTCCTAGAATTATGGAGGTTGCACCTCCTCCATCAGATTGGGAGGCATCAGATAGGTGGCATCCTAGTGAATTGGGGAGATCGTGTCTCCTCCATCAGACCAGGTTGCATCAGACCTGGTGGTATCCCTAGAATGGGGTAGGTCGTGCCTCCTCCATCAAACTGGGTGACATCAGACCAGGTGGCATCTCTAGAATCAGGGAGCTGGTACCTCCTCTGTCATACTGGGTGGCATCATACCAGGTGGCACCCCTAGAACCAGGGAGGTCACGCCTCCTCCATCAGACCGGGCGGCATCCCTAGAATCGGGGAGGTCGCGCCTCCCTCCATCAAACTGGGTGGGGCATCAGACCAGGTGGCATCCTAGAATGGGGGGAGAGGGTGGTGCGTCCTCCATCAGAGCGGACATCTGGGGGTCAGGGAGGTGGGTCTCCGCCCAAGAGGCTCAGGCACGCCCTCCCTCCCGCTAGCTCTTTCCGTGCTCCCCTGCAGCCGCTTCCAACGAACTCCCGCACGCACCGAGCCGGCCGAGGGCGGGGCGAGGCCCGAGGGGGCGGGGCCTAGGCCCGGGCGGGGCGGGACCTAGACCCGGCCGGGGCGGGGCCAGAGGGGGCGGGGCCTAGGCCAGGGCGGGGCGGGGCCTAGGCCCGGGCGGGGCGGGACCTAGACCCGGTCGGGGCGGGGCCAGAGGGGGCGGGGCCTAGGCCCGGGCGGGGCGGGGCCTAGGCCCGGGCGGGGCGGGGCCTAGGCCCGGGCGGGGCGGGACCTAGACCCGGCCGGGGCGGGGCCAGAGGGGGCGGGGCCTAGGCCCGGGCGGGGCGGGACCTAGACCCGGGCGGGGCGGGGCCAGAGGGGGCGGGGCCGGCGGGCTCTGCCCTTCTCCGCGATGGCCGCCGCGGCCTCGGTGACCGGCGCGGTCACGTGGGCGCGCCCGCCTATGCGCTGGCGGCGGCCGCGATTGTCCCTGCCGGGCCGCCGTCGCGGCGGCGCGGGCGCCGGTCACCCGGAGCCCGGGCGAGCATGGCAACGGGCCGGGGCGGGCAGCGCGCGGCGGCGGCGGAGTGGCGGCGGCGGCGGCGGCGGCGCGGGGCGCGGGCGCGGGCGCGGGCGCGGGGCCTGACGCCATGCGGAGGGGCCGCTCGGGCCGGGCGGACGCGGGCGCGGCCGGAGAGCCCCTGGGCGCGGCGCGGGACGGGCGGCCGGCGCGGGCGGACGCGGGCGAGCCGGGACCCCCCGCCCGGGCCCCGCGCGGCGCCCAGTCGGCCCGGGGCGGCTCGCGCGCGCGCACGCGGGCCCGGGGCCGCGCGCGGGGGGACTGCGCCCCGCGGCCCGTCACCGTGGACAGCTCCAAGGCCAAGACGTCGCTGGAAGCCCTGAAGATCAGCCTCCGGCAGCTCAAGTGGAAGGAGGTGAGGCCCGGCCGCCCGGGGAGAGGCCCCGCCCACAGCCCCCCTCCCGGACCCGGGACCCCCGGGCCCCCCGCGCAGCCTGCCAGACCTAGGGTCCGGGTCACCTCCGCCAAGGAGGCCTCCGGGTTTCCCCCCGACACCACCCCCGACCTCCCCCCGCCACTCCCAGGTCGCCCCTCCGGCCAGGCCAGCAGCCTCTCCGCCCCCTCTCTCTAGATGCTTGTTCATAAGCCTGTCTTCTCTACCGGCGTGCGTTGCCCCAATCCCCCAGGACCCTGGGTCTCTCTCTCTGTCTCTCTCTCTGTCTCTCTCTCTCTCTCTCTCTCTCTCTCTGTCCTATCTCCCAGGACCCAGGGTCTCTCTGTCTCTCTCTCTTATCTCCCAGGACCTTGGCGCTCTCTCTCTCTCTCTCTCTCTCTCTCTCTCTCTCTCTCTGTCCTATCTCCTAGGACCCTGGGTCTCTCTCTCTCTCTCTCTCTCTCTCTCTCTCTCTCTCTCTCTCTCTCTGTCCTATCTCCCAGGACCCAGGGTCTCTCTGTCTCTCTCTCTTATCTCCCAGGACCTTGGCGCTCTGTCTCTCTCTCTCTCTCTCTCTCTCTCTCTCTCTCTCTCTCTCTGTCCTATCTCCTAGGACCCTGGGTCTCTCTCTCTCTCTCTCTCTCTCTCTCTCTCTCTCTCTCTGTCCTATCTCCTAGGACCCTGGGTCTCTCTCTCTCTCTCTCTCTCTCTCTGTCCTATCTCCTAGGACCCTGGGTCTCTCTCTCTCTCTCTCTCTCTCTCTCTCTCTCTCTCTCTCTCTCTCTGTCCTATCTCCCAGGACCCAGGGTCTCTCTGTCTCTCTCTCTTATCTCCCAGGACCTTGGCGCGCGCTCTCTCTCTCTCTCTCTCTGTCCTATCTCCTAGGACCCTGGGTCTCTCTCTCTCTCTCTCTCTCTCTCTCTCTCTCTCTGTCCTATCTCCTAGGACCCTGGGTCTCTCTCTCTCTCTCTCTCTCTCTCTCTCTCTGTCCTATCTCCCAGGACCCAGGGTCTCTCTGTCTCTCTCTCTTATCTCCCAGGACCTTGGCGCTCTCTCTCTCTCTCTCTCTCTCTCTCTGTCCTATCTCCTAGGACCCTGGGTCTCTCTCTCTCTCTCTCTCTCTCTCTCTCTGTCCTATCTCCTAGGACCCTGGGTCTCTCTCTCTCTCTCTCTCTCTCTCTCTGTCCTATCTCCTAGGACCCTGGGTCTCTCTCTCTCTCTCTCTCTCTCTGTCCTATCTCCCAGGACCCAGGGTCTCTCTGTCTCTCTCTCTTATCTCCCAGGACCTTGGCGCTCTCTCTCTCTCTCTCTCTCTCTGTCCTATCTCCTAGGACCCTGGGTCTCTCTCTCTCTCTCTCTCTCTCTCTCTCTCTCTCTCTCTCTGTCCTATCTCCTAGGACCCTGGGTCTCTGTCTCTCTCTCTCTCTTATCTCCCAGGACCTTGGCGCTCTCTCTCTCTCTCTCTCTCTCTCTCTCTCTCTCTCTCTGTCCTGTCTCCTAGGACCCTGGGTCTCACTCTCTCTCTCTAGTTCTCTCTGTCCTATCTCCCAGGACCCAGGGTCTCTCTGTCTCTCTCTCTCTTATCTCCCAGGACCTTGGCGCTCTCTCTCTCTCTCTCTCTCTCTCTCTCTCTCTCTCTCTGTCCTATCTCCCAGGACCCAGGGTCTCTCTGTCTCTCTCTCTTATCTCCCAGGACCTTGGCGCTCTCTCTCTCTCTCTCTCTCTCTGTCCTATCTCCTAGGACCCTGGGTCTCTCTCTCTCTCTCTCTCTCTCTCTCTCTCTCTCTCTCTCTGTCCTATCTCCTAGGACCCTGGGTCTCTGTCTCTCTCTCTCTCTTATCTCCCAGGACCTTGGCGCTCTCTCTCTCTCTCTCTCTCTCTCTCTCTCTCTGTCCTATCTCCTAGGACCCAGGGTCTCTCTGTCTCTCTCTCTTATCTCCCAGGACCTTGGCGCTCTCTCTCTCTCTCTCTCTCTCTGTCCTATCTCCTAGGACCCTGGGTCTCTCTCTCTCTCTCTCTCTCTCTCTGTCCTATCTCCTAGGACCCTGGGTCTCTGTCTCTCTCTCTCTCTTATCTCCCAGGACCTTGGCGCGCTCTCTCTCTCTCTCTCTCTCTCTCTCTCTCTCTGTCCTATCTTCTAGGACCCTGGGTCTCTCTCTCTCTAGTTCTCTCTGTCCTATCTCCTAGGACCCTGGGTCTCACTCTCTCTCTCTAGTTCTCTCTGTCCTATCTCCCAGGACCCAGGGTCTCTCTGTCTCTCTCTCTTATCTCCCAGGACCTTGGCGCTCTCTCTCTCTCTCTCTCTCTCTCTCTCTCTCTCTCTCTGTCCTATCTCCCAGGACCCAGGGTCTCTCTGTCTCTCTCTCTCTTATCTCCCAGGACCTTGGTGCTCTCTCTCTCTCTCTCTCTCTCTCTCTCTCTCTCTCTCTCTCTCTGTCCCGTCTCCCAGGACCCTGGCGCTCCCTCTCCTCTCCCTCCTCTCCCCCGAACCCCCTCTCCATATTTGCAAGCACAGTTTGTATTTGGGAAGCACAGCCTGGCCCCTGACACTTCACTGAGTGACCTTGGGCTAGTGGCATTTCTCCTGAGTCCCCTTCGCCCTCGGTCAGGGGCGGCTCAGATGCCCAGACCCCACCCATGCGGTACACTCCTCCCCCCTTGCAGGCGCGGGGCAGCTGGGGGGTGGGGTGTGTGTATGTGACTCATCTCCCCACCCTCGCCCTCCTCCGTGTGGCCCCGCATGCCAGCCAGCTTCCAGGGCCTGTCTGTGCTTGGCACAGCGCAGGTCGACAGGCCCGACACGGGGTTGTGTCTCTGGACTGCCCTCCGACCCAGTGGGGGCCGAGGAGTGCCCCGGTGTGTGTGTGTGGGGGGGGTGTCTGTCTCCGGCTCAGTTGGCACGAGCATTCTGGAGCGCCCGGAGCCGGGCGTGGGGCTTGTCTGCTGATTCCATCCTGGGTGCTGCCCCCACCCGCAGAGTCCCCCCGGGCCGGGGCACTGGCAGAGAGGTTCAGGGAGGGGTTCACAAGGTGGGCTCCACGCAGGGGGGTCAGTGAGGCTGGGGTGGGGCTGTAGCGGAGTCAGAATGAGGTAGGGTACGCTTCTAGGGGGGGCCTTGTCCTTGGATTCCGGGCACCGGGGTGCTCAGCCTGGGGGCTCGGGGTTCATGGGAGAAGAGGGAGGGAGGGGAGGTCCAGACCAGAGCTTGTAAGGTGCAAGGTCAAAACAACCCATCTGTGGGTGCCGTCCGGGAACCCTGACACCCAGCCAGAGTGCCAGACCCTGCTGCTGGGCCCGGGCAGAGAGGCGTGAGGTGGGCTGGAGCCAAGAGCTGAGTGGGGCGGGCGCTGGGCCGTGCCTCTTGCAGGCCCGGATGGGCTCGGGTCGGAGCTCGCCAAACCAGGGGGGCCTTTGCTGCCGCTTTCCCAAGTCTCTTCCCCGGGTGCCCGACGGCTGCTTTCTCTGTCTCTCCACCTCCTGCCCGCCCACAGGAGCACAGAGCTGTGCCCTCCACTGCCCATGGGGCCTTCAATGTCTGTCCCCCTCGCTAGACTGTGAGCCCCATGCGGGCAGGGCCTTGCTCTGGTCACAGCTGTACCCCCAGGAACGTGGCGCTCAGGAGTTGCTCAATAAATGCTGTCGAATGGTTGAATCCACCGTCGTGAGTGTCTCTCTCTCTCTCTCTCTCTCTCCCTCTCTCTCTCTTTCTCTCTCTCTGGGAAGCTGTTCAGGCTGTGGGAACGTCGTCCGGCTGCTGGTGTGACTGCCGTGGAGGTGTAGTGGCCGCGAGCTGAGATGTGGCGGCAGGGACCGAGCCGGCGTCTGTCCACCAGGGGCTCTGCCCACTTCCATCTGCCTGGTTCTGAGGCTGGGCCATGGGCCGGGTGTGCACCAGCCTGCAGGAACTGGGCATTTTTGGGGGGCGTCACCGCAGACTCCGGGAGTTCTTTCCTGTGCCAGCTATGGGGCTTTGGTTTGTGACTTCCACTCGGGTTGTCTGTCTGGGCCGGGTGCAGGGGTGGGCGGGGCAGGGCTGGTGCAGGGGCTTCCACATACCAGGAGGCAGTCGGGTTGTGCACAGACCCTGCCGTGGGGCCTGGCACGCAAGCAGCCCGGGTTCAATCCCCCCCCCCCCCAGCACCCCATTGCATCCCCCGAGCACCGTCAGGAGTGATCCCTAAGTGCAGAGCCCAGAGTAAGCCCTGAGCACCGTTGGGTGTGATCCCTCCCCCCCAACAAACTGGACAAACCATACTCTGCTGAGCCCTGGGGGATGGGCAGCTTCTAGCACAAGCATCCCCCTTGGTCCGTCTGGAGCAAATGTTGTCCTTCCTCATCAGATGTGTAAGTGGCGACGCTCATTCTGGCTTCTGTCTTTATGGTGGTGGTGGTGGCGGCCACTCCCAGGATTTGGGGGATTTGGGGGATTTGGGCCACGTCCTGTATGCTGGGTGTGTGTGTGCGTGTACGCGTGTGGGTGTGGGGGTGACACAGGACCAAAATTCGCACCTGGGCCTCACACAGGCAGAACCTGGGCACTAAGCCCCGGGCCACATGCCCAGCCCTGCTTTAATACATCTGAGAGCATAATTTACTTGTAGTAGTAAGACTCGTACACGATTCTCGCTCACGCTGCAGGAAGACTTTGCTGCTAGGCGTGTGATCCTGTGAGAGCGGGAGTTGGGGGGGGCGTTTGTTAAACCTCTAGCAGTGACAGCTCACCCATCATCCTGACGCCCTAGAGCATGGAGGGCTTTTTTTTGGTTTTTGTTTTTTTTTGCAGGGGACATACCTGGTCTGGCTCTGCACTCAGGGATCACTCCTTGGCGGTGCCCAGGGAACCATTTGCAATGCCAGAGATGGAACCCAGGTGGGCTGTGTGCAAGGCCAGTGCTGTACCTGCCGGCTTATCTCTCTGGCCCCTCCTGAGGGAGTTTGAGTCCTGCCAAACTAACGACCATGCCGCGTCCATTTGTGCCTTC